CTAGGGGCTGAGCTGGTTCCTAACGCTCTGGGCAGTCCTGCTGAGACTCCGTGGATGTCAAAAGATCTTTATTCCTGTCGGCATCTGTTAGGTACTTAAGGTGGCTGGGAAGGATCTCAGGATCCTGTCCAAGAGGAGCCCAGGCCTGATTTACACACCTCTGGTGACAGGGAGTTCACTGCCTCTCGAAGCAGCCCCTTCCAGCCGAGCTGTGACATGCTCTTCCCCAGACGCCCGGCCTCCCCGGCACGCGCTGCCACCTGTTCTGGCCCTGCCCATCTGTTCCCGCCACTCCAGGTTCACTCCTTGCAACCCACCTTCCCTGGAACCCAGGGAACATCGGAGACCAACCAACTGATCGTGCCACTCCTCTGCTCAAAGACCTGTGCTGGCTCCCTGTCGCCTCCGGGACGTCTGGTTCCTCACAGGACATCTAAAGCCCTTTCTGTGCAGGCCCAGGGAGGGTCGTCACCCTCACCTCGCCTCACCTGCTCCAGCCATCCTCCAGCCCCAGCCTCTGGCCACACACCGTCTCTCTGTCCCCAGAACAGGCAGTGGACCGCCCAGCCTCCAGGCCTTTGCACGCAAGGGGCTATCTGCCGGGAGCTCCTGAGCCCCTTTCTGCCTTGGAGACCCAAGCAGATGTCCCCTCCTCTGGAAGGGTTTTCTGCCCCTCACCGTGTGGGCAAGTCTCTCCCTGCTCCTCGGGGCTCCCCGCCGTCCCCTTACTTCCCCTCTGTCACCACTGACTGCTGTTGATATGTCCCTCCCCTGCTCCCCTGTGAGCCCCAGGCAGTGGCCAGGCCTTGTTCGCCAGCAAATCCCAGCGCCCAGCCCCGCCTGGGGTGGGTGACAAGAGGCCCTCAGAAAAGCCTGGAGCTCTGCTGCTCAAAGCCCGCCGCGACCCCTCACTCCCCGTACCCCCCTTCCCCTAGCATCCTTCTGAGGGTCAGAGAGCCGCATGGGGCACTGGGGCAAGTTGTTCCCTTCCTCGGCCTCAGTCTCCCCGTCTCTGAAACAGGCTCCATCGTCTCTGACAGTCCCTGTCCTCTCAGCTTCTTCCTCTCACTATTAATAGCACCTACTGTGCGTCAGGCACCGTGCCAGGCCCTCGATGTCTGTTATTCCTAATCGCCAGGGGGCTTATGCTTTACATAAAGCATTTAGTACCATGTCTGGCCTATGGTGAGCTTTAAATAAACAGAAGCTGCTATGGTTAATAGCTATTATCCCTACACCATCCAATAAAGTAGGCAAGGTTGTCCCCATTTTACAGATGAGAAAACTGAGGCAACAAGAGGGGCAGTGACCCGTCTCAGCCCACACAACTGGGAGCCGTGCAACGAGGAGCAGTTCTTCTCCATCACACGACATCGCCTTCCTCACCGGGCAGCAAGGCCCCTCTGTCCGTCCGTTGGGTGAAGCTTGCCCCACGCCACCCGCGTGAGTGCGGCAGACACAGAGCAGGCCCTGCCCGCGTGGAAGGCACAGTTCTCGGGGCAGAGGAACATTCACCGAGCGCTCACAGATGCACGTATAAATCACACCGCGTGTTCTGTCGTAGGAAGGGAGATGCAGGGTGCTGCGAGACGTGACTTGGCCTGGGGTGACCCAGATGGGGAAGCTTCTGGCGGATCTGGTTAACCCTTTGTGGCCCGGGACAGCTAGACATTACCCCTCCAGATCAGCTTGGGGCTCGATGACCTTGGAGGAGGTGGCTGGATGGAGCCCCCTGGCACCCCCACCACCCCCAGCCCTGGCTTTCCAAGCCCCCCCCCAACTCTTTGAAGACTGTCCCTTTACAACCGCCCTTTCCACCAAAGTATTCAGGCACAAATTGTATTTTAAATTCAATATCGGTCATTAATATTTCATGATTACAAAACGTTAAAGATAATGTCAGTGGAAGGAGCGTCTGCCTGGGCAGAATGGATGACTCAGAAGTTCGGGGAGAGGGGGGCCGGCATACTAAGTGGCCAGGGAGTCTTTGAGGTAATCCAGCATGACAGGCGGCGGCCCCCGGCTGAGCGACACGCTCTCCGAGGCGCTCGCAAAGCTGCGCCACCGTGTATAAATATTTCCCCTCTGATTCTTGTCACCTCATGGTTTTTACGCCCGGGAGCAGGGGGGGCCACCGCGAACCCCTAAGCATCCCCTCTGCTTCTGAGGAAGCCAAACGTATGCTTCCGCGGGAGGGCATGGTGCCAGGCGGGCACACCTGTTGGCACTGCACCTGGGGCCCGGGCTGGCTCCCCGGGGGGCTGGGGCAAGCCTGGCCCTGCGTGGACTTGCTCTGTGATCTTGGGGCTATCGCTGGGCCTCCCTGAGCCTCTGTTTTCTCATCTGTAAAACGGGGACAATAATTTTGCCCTTGTCTCATGGAGATGTGAGAAGGTATGGTGGGTGGGGTGCTTGTGACAGCTTCTGACTTTGTGCCAACACCAAGGAACGATGACTGCAGGGGCAGCGGGGAGGGATGGGCTCTGGAGTCAGGCAGGCTGGGGCTGGGAATCTGGACAAATGACTTCACTTGCCTGAGTTTCAGTTTCCTCAGCCACACATTGAAGATAACAGTAGAATCGACACCACTGAGGGGTGAAGATTCCATGAGCTCACCACCGCACAGGCCTGGCACAGGGTCAAGACCAACAGACAGCATTAATTGAGCACTTATTAAGTACCACCCACTAGGCTAAGTGCTTCCCGTGCGTTATCCTGTTTAATCCTCCCATGAGCACTGTGAAGTGGAACCACTCCTTTTCCTGTTGACGAATGTCCCGGGTGAAGAGTGGGCAGGGGTTGGGGGTGCAGTTCAGAGAGGGGGTCTGCAGCCCAGTGGCCAGTCTGCTCCTTGCAGAGATCCGTCTCCTCCCCCACGTCAGCTGGTGGGGTTGGTAGGTGGGATCAGAGAAGAGCTCAGAGAGCAGAGTGTCAGGAAAAGGGAGGCCACGCAGCAGTGCCTTGGTGGGGACCGAGTAGACCCCGCACGAATCCCAGCTCTGCCAGTGCATGCCCTTGGGCAAATGTCCTAACTCTCTGAGCCTTCCTTTTGCTATCAGTAAAATGGGTGCTGATCATGCTATTGGTTAGGATTCGATAAAGTACGTTCTAGAAAGCACATAGCCCAGAATACGTATTAGGTAAAAATTGTAAGATGTTTGGGGAGAGGTGTCCGCCCCCCATTCTCTGTCCTGTGAAATGGCAGCATTAGTGCCTTCGTATGCTGTGCTAGCTGCTTTCTGACAGCGACCCACTGGGCAGAAGCTCAATGCTTAACCCGAGAGGGGACTTGCTAGCGGTGGACGACAGGCAGGTGGGAAGGGGCTGTGTTTGTGGGCAGGGAGAGGCGACATCTCTGCTCAGCAGCCGGGCCAGTCGTCTCTGGCTTCATCTGCAGCCAGGAGCCTCAGTTGCTACCCCGGGAGCAGGTCTGCGGAGGCAGGAGGGGGAGCTCTCTTCCCCCCAGTGCAGCCCCACTTCCTCTCCAGCCACCTTTGTTATCTCCCTTTCATGCGGCAGAGGACTGGATTCAAAGGCTCGGGAACAGCAGGCACTGAGGTTTGAGCCAGCTTTGTATTTTCTTTTAAACTGTAGTTGAAAGAGACTAAGGGAACTTCAGCCTAGGGACTTCCTCAGCCCACAGCAGGCCGGTGGGGCCTGGGAGGTGGGGGCGGCCAGCACGGGGAGGGAGGCGGAGGAGGGCTGGCAGGAGGGGCCTGGGGCTACGGCGGGGCAGAGGCGAGTTTAAATGTTAACTGTTCTTCCCAGCTCAGAGACTCAACAGTTGTCCTGTTGTCATGATTGCTTAATGGCGGCTCCCTTGACTCCCCAGACCTTGAGAGTTGACAGGTGGGGGAGCTGGGCGGGCTGGTGGTGGCAGTGGTGTGGCAGCATTGCTCCCGGGTATGGAGGAGGACTGGAGGGCACTCGCCCTCCCCTCTCCCAGTGCTCCGTGAGTCTCAGCCCCTCACCTCCAGCCCAGCTACACCAAACTGCCTGTGACACACACACACACACACACACACACACACGGATTCTTCCAGAAACTCAGGCCAAGCTCCTTGGAGTCGTCCTTGACCCCTCTCCATCTCTCATCAGCACTTCAGCCCATCAGCAGGCGGCTACTGGCTATCAACTCAATCTCCAGCCTGTGTCCCAAAGCCCACCCCGCCTCCCCTCTGCTGCTGCGAGGGCCCTGGGCCAGGCCGCTGTCCTCGCTCCCTGGCACTATTGCCTTTAGCTTCTAGCTAAGCCTTGCTTGCCCCCGGCCCCCGTCTATTCTCAGTGCAGCAGCCAGAGGCACCCTGTCAGGCTCAAACCCCTCCTCTGCTCAAGCTCCTCCTGTGACCCCAGTTTCATTTGGAGTCAAATCCAAAGACCCTACCATGGTTGACCGCTCTGCCTGTCACCAACCACACTGGCCTCCATGCTCACGAACTACCACCTCAGGGCCTTTGCAGTGGCTGTTCCCTCTGCCTGGAATGCTCTTCCCCCAGATGTCAGCGTGACTCCCCCACTTCAGTGAGGTCTTTGTTGGAATGTCTTCCTCCCAGAGCAGCCTTTCCGTAAGAGAAAAATGTCCCCTCCCTTCCAATCCCCCTCCCTGGTGCTTTTTAGCTCTGACACATCATGTACGCCCGGTCTCTTAGCGTGCTGATACTCTAGTCCTCCCCTGAGGACAGGATCCTTTCTGTCTTCTTCCAGGCTGTATCCCCAGCCCCTAGAACAGGGCTTGGCATATAGTAGGTGCTCAATAAATGATGAAAGAAGAAAGCCGGCCTCAAGACCAGCCCTATGCCCTTGGCTTGGGACCCCTCCTGGACCTTTGTTCTCGCCCACCAGCTTTTGCCCCGACCTTCGACCTTCGGATCTTCCTCCGGTTTCTTACTCTTTGCCCCGCCCCCACCTTTGGCCCCTCCCCCATGAGCTTTGACTGACAGCGCAGCCTCAGCTCCTCTCCCCGTTTCCCCAGGCCGGCAGGGATGGGGCGCCCAGCTCACCCGCCTCCATGGCCAGCACCGTGATGTTGTGCCAGCCGGCCGTCTCGCGGTCCAGCCCCTTGCCCGTCACGATGGCGCCCGTGTCCGCGTCGATATCGAAGATCTGGTCCAAGTCCGATTCGCGGTCAATGGCGTACCTGCGGGGGGCAGGGCGGGGCTGATTGAAGGTGCCCCAGGGCCAGGTGCAGCCCGCGCCCATGTCCCCTCCCACCCCCCCAGGAGAGGGACTGCCTGCCTGGGACTCACGGGAGAAACGCTTTCCCACAGAGCGGGAGCGCGAGGCGTCTGAGCTCGCAGGTGGCGCGGGGACTGCTGTGTGCCCACACGCGCCCTCAGCCTTCCCGGCCTCCGCTGCCCCGGCCGGGCAGCCCACCTAACGCTTTGCTCCCCGTGGCTGCTGCGAGGGCTGGAGGGGGCAAAGTGCCTGGCACGGGGCTAGCACCACTAATGTAGGTTCTTGTCTTTCCATAAGACGTGCCCCTGGGGTTGAACTTGAGAAGGGGACTGGAATGGCATTCTGGGCAGGTGGAATGGAAGGTGCAAAGGCGGGCGGCTGGGACTTATCCAGGGCGCAGCCGATGGAGCGGCCGGCCAGAAGGCGCGGGAGGAGAGCCAGGCGCGGCGTTCAGGACACGGACGCGCACTGGGAGCCGATGGTGGTTCTGAGCAGGAGAGAGGGCGTCACTTGCCGCCTTAGGAGGCTTCTCCGGAGGTCATGGCGAGAAGGCCCAGACCGGGCACGGCTGAGCGAGCGCCCGGGGAGGAGGGGTCTGGGGGCAGGGCCGGGGGCTCCTCCCCGCCTGCGCAGCGCACAGCTAATCTGCAGCTTTTCAGATGCTGCGTGAAAAAGCCCTTTGTTCCGCCTTCTTCCCCGGCCTTTGTGTGGCGGCTCCAGGCCTTAAAGGCCCGTGTCCAACACATGTCTCGGGCGGCGGCGGCCCGGAGAGGCCCCGCCAGCGCGGCCGCCGCTTCCCGGCGCTGATAACGCGGGTGGGGGCGCGGCGAGGCTGCGCGGCCGACAAAGGCCTCGAATGCCAAGCAAGGGCTCATTGTACAGCCAGGACAAAGCAGCCCGGGAGGGAGGGGCTCTGCCCGAGCCACCTGGTCCCTCCTACAGGCAGGAGGAAAGGGGCCCTTTGCACGTCTCTCAGAGTAGTAAACTGAGGCCCAGGGAGGCAGGACACCAGAAACATCACCTGTTGGGGCCCAAAGCTCTGAGATGCCCTTCAGTGGGGCCTTGGCTGCACTGCCAGACCTCTCCCAGCCTCAGCTTCTCCATCTATGAAATGGGGATAATGGCACCCAGTGGGACTGCAAGTCTGAGAGCAGTCAGAGCCGGCTTTGACTCCTCTGCCACTTAGGCTACCTGTGTGACCTCGGGCAACCCACCCGACCTCCCTGGCCTCTGCTCATCTGGAAAAGGGGGTGATTCACACTCATCTCACACTGTGGTGGGGGTTAGAGGAGGGACTGGGCCTATGTGACAGCCCTTATCCTTTTCATTTTTGCTGCTGCTGTGGAGGTGAAGGCATGTGTCACACTGTTAAGCGCTGTGCATGTGGGTGTAGTGGGCATGAAGCCGGTCCCCTGAGTCTCCGGTTTAGTGCTCTGTCCTGTCCTTGGGCTGCTAAGCCCACATCCTTCTTGCCCCTGACCAGCTTGGGTCCCACTGACCTGGGTGAAAGTGAGTGGGGAGGTTCGGACCCAAGATGACAATTCCTCCTCCTATGAATAGCGTGCACTTAGCAGTGTGTCTCTTGCTTTCCCCCAGCTACCCCTCCATCCATCCCTTTATGCCCTAAACACTAGCTGAGAGCCTTCTCTGTGCCGGGCCCAGGGATGAGGCAGGTGACACAGGCGAGGTCCCTGCCAGGCATCCCGGGAGGCTGATGTCATCCCCCTATTTTGCAGATGAAGACACCAAGGCTCAGAGAGGAAACTTGCCAAGCTCAGGGCTGCCGAGTATGGCTGCGCAGGTTGTGCTGAAGAGGGGAAGCGGGGGCGAATTCCCCCGAGTGGTCTTCATGGCGAGCCACGTACCCTCGCCCACATGTATCTTCTCAGAGGGGCCCTTTTTCTTGTTTACACAAAAGTGCCGTATGGCCTAGCGAAGACCCTGCCAAAGGTTGTAGAGCAAGCCTGCCACAGAATTGGAATTGGCACCCAAACTTGGGATTCTGTACCCAGACTTCTTTCTAGCTTGCTGCACCATCCAAAGCCTCAATGCATGGAGCCTCAGGTCCCCTCTGCCCCCAGCCTGGCCCTGTCAGATGCTTGGCTCCAAAGGAGGTAGAAAAAGACTCTGAGTGTCAGCTGGGCTGGAAGGAACCTTGGAGACCTCCTCCCATTCTACAGGTGGGAGGACAGAGTCCAGGAGAAACACAGACATGACACAGCCTGGGCTCCTGAGCCCCATCAGGCTGCGCGTGGGGCAGGGCTGTGGGAGGCCACCAACTGCCTTCTTGTTGCTTCTCCTCCACTCTATGCTCGGATCTCTCTCCTCTCTCCTTCCTCCGCCTCCTCATCCCTGTTTTTGTCCTTTGTTCCCTCCTAGAGGGGAAGGGAGGGGCGGGAATCTAAGTGGAGGCAGCTGTTCCCAAGGCCGTGGGTGGGGGCAGTGGGGACCCGCCATTAACCAGCTAAAGACCTGGGCTGTGGGTCAATGCAGCAAGCTGAGCCGGGGTTTTTGTTCCAGCTCGGGGAGCCAGAGACTGAGTGGGGGGGGGGACGTGGTGCGGGGCAAGGACTGTGGCCTGGCAAACGTGTGGGGGTGCAGTTGTGCCCCTCACGTGTAGACGCATGCATGAGCTGTGTGCCTGGTCTGTGCTGAGGGTGGAAAGTGTGCTTGTGGCGTGCACGTGTGAGTGATGTGTGTGTGTGAGACAGTGTGTTGCGGTTGAAGAGCAAAGGTTCAAGAGACAGCTGCTCAGCCCTGGGTCTGGAGCCAGGTCCCCACTGCCCCCAGGCAAGTCACTTCCATCTTTGAGCCTTAAATTTCCGCAAAATAGAGCTGATGATCCTGCCTTGTGAGGAGGAGGAAATGCATGTAAGGTGTTTAGCTGACTTCCAGGAAAATTACTCCATGAATGGGAGCTATTGTTATTCTAATTATTATTCAGAAATGTCTCACAAGAGTACTCAGGAGTCCCCCCAGCCCGGAGTGTGGCTTTCGTGCCTGGGCACAGGGGCACCTCCATGGGCATCGGAGCATTGCCAGTGGGCTGAGAAGGACAGGAGGCAGCTGTGTGTCCAGAAGTTTCTGCTTATATTTTGCAGTTCTGCTTCTCCCTCGGTTAGCCAGGGCCTGAGGCTGCCAGAGGAACCAGAGGGGTGTGGGTGGGAGCACAGGGAGAGAATTTGAGCGTGTGTGTATGTGTGTGTGTGTATGCGCACACGTTCGAGAGACAGGTGTGGTGGTACGTGCGGATCTGATGCCCATCTGCCTGGGTTGGAGACCTAGCTGTGTGAGCTCGGGCAAGTCACCTAATCTCTCTGTTCCTCAGTTTCCTCTTCTTAAAAATGGAGATAATAATACCTGCCTCACAGGCTGCTTGTGAGGTTTGGACAAGTGACTACCAATAATGCACTTACAATGGTATTGGGCACCTGCCACGTGACATATAGATGTGCTTTTATTTTTAATTGCTGAACAAGACTTTGGGCCAGGCCTTTGTGAGGGCTTTACCTACATGAGCTCCTCAAATCCTCCCATTTTCCAGATGAGGAAACTGAGGCTCAGAGAAGCCCTTACCTTGTCCTGAGTCGCAAAGGGCGGGTTAGTGGCGGAGCTAAGTTCCCATCCCGTGTCTGTCCACAGCCCCAGGTCTGAGACCACTTCCTAAGGAGCCGGCCAGTCACACCTGCTGGCATTCCCATGCGCTAGGGGCAGCACAAACCTGCGCTGTCAAGGTCAGGGTGGAGAATGGGGTAGGTCCTGCTTCCTGGCTGGCGTGCGCATGTGGTTGTTCTCTACATAAATATGTGCTTACGTAACGCACACAGCAAGGGCCGCAGGCTCATTTGCATAAGGCTTTCCGGAGTTCCTGTGTGCGGCTCCGAACGCACAGGCGGCAGGCTGGATGGCCCAGGCCACTAGTGCGGGGAAGCCCTTCGAGGACAAAGCAGCTGCCCCTGCCCCACCCGAGGGATTTCTCCCTGCTCATCTGCCCTATCTCTCACTCTTCCCCCCACCCTGTTGAAGGCCCATACTCAAAGGCCGCACTCAATGCCTAGAAAATTGTGTGCAGAAAATTGTGTCTGCAGAATGAACAGGCCACAGAACATCAAGAAAAACGGCAATGACCATTTCCTGAGGGCCTGCTATGCACCAAGCACTTAGCCCTCCCTCCAACCCTGGGAGCACCAAGAGCAGAACTTGGTACATGGGGGACATTGAATATGAATGAGGCAAGCACTAGCATGACGCCCATTTTTGAGATAGGGAAACTGAGGCTCAGAAGGGGGTGCAGTGACTTGCTCAAAACTCTGCAACTGAGCTGGGATTGGAAGCTGAGGCTTCTCTGGTTCCAAAGCCTGTGCTTGTCCTACTGCACTCTACTGTGGCGTGCTGGGTGGAAATAAAGTGCTCACTTCCTCTGGTCCCGGGTGGACGTTCCTGTTTCCAATGTTCGAAGGAGACTCGCAATGAGGCTAGGGCTGGCGGGAACGTGGCTGGGCTGATAAACGGCCCATGTGTCAGCAAGGCTGCCCCGGCCAGAGGTGGGCCTATGAAGTCCCACTTGTTCACCTGACATTCAAGGTCTTCACAGCTTGTCTCCAAGTGCCCCTCTGTCTCTGTCTCCCTCCACTCTGACGTCAGCTCATCTAGCTGATCATCCTGCTCCTGAACTTCACCTCCGGGCTCTGAGTCTGTTCCCAGCACCTGCCCTTCACCGTCACTCCAACTGGGCCCATGCTGTCCCCTCCCAGGCCTCACACTCTGCAACCTCCTTCAGGGGCCACCTGGGGGACGCCTGTGCTCACTCGCCTCCCTGGTGCACGGAGTACCTGCCCCTCCTTAAGGCTCCTCAGCCACTCAGACCTGGATCTGTCACTGGATTCGTTCATCCGTGGGCCATGAGTCTGACTCATCCCTGTGGCCTGTGCATGGCAGGGCATGGCACCAGCTTAGGGACTGCACTAATCACAAGGATTAGGAAGCAGGATTGAGGAAGCAGTCAGCCATGGGTCAAATCCCAGTCCTTTCCCTTTTGAGCTGGGTGGCCTTGGGCAAGTCACTTCCCCTCTCTGACCCTCAGTTTCTACATCTGTAATACGAATGTAATGCCTCCTGAGGGGTAAAAGTGGCAATACGAGGCACCTTCCACTCTCCCCAGTACAGAGGCTCAGAAAAATGTCTCTGTCCTGCCTGCATTTCTGTATTTCCCAGGTGCCGATGTGCCTTGCAAACTGCGCTAGGCAAGTCTCCCAGGGTACCACTTCATTTCTTCATTTCAGGGACACAGCAAGCTTGTCCCTGCCCCAGGACTGTTGTACTTGCTGTTCCCTCTATCTGGAATGCTGTTCCCCATAGCTACTCATGGAAGGCTCTCTGTCATTCTTATCTCAGCTCGTTTGTCACATCCCTGACCACTCAATTCAAAGTGGAGGCCAGGAGTTTAAGACCAGCCTGGGTAACAATATAGTGAGACCCTATCTTAAAAAAAAGTGGCCCTCGGTGGCTCCAATCCCTCCTTGTCCTGTTCCTCTCTTATTTTCCTCATTGCTCTGACAGCAGTTAGCCCATTTAGCCACTTGACTCGTAGCAGCAAATGCTTAACCATTTGCTGACTCTCCCCGCAGGAGGAGGCCATGCCACGTGGGCAGGGACCTTGTCCCACCACCTGTTTCTCTCCTGCACAGAACAGTGCCGGGCAGACTCAACGCAGGGTTGACGCCTCAGTTAACGAGCCTTGGAACCCGGGAGCTGCCAGGACAGAACCCTTGGAACAAGCCGGGCTCTGGGCAGCACGTGTGGCCTGTGATGACCCTTGTCTGTCCCCCACAGCCCTGCCCGGGCCTCCCATTTCCATGTTCCTACCCCGCAGTCTGGGAGCCCCACCCCAGCCTGTCCTTCGCTGAGTCATCTTGTGTCCCCAGCCTGGCCCGGGCCTGGCACAGAGGAGGAGTGGGGTGAATGTCTGGTGTTCAGTTGGACCTGCGTCAAGCTCCTCGCCGCCTCTGAGTCTGAGGAGCCCAGGGGAGGGCGGCGCAGAGAGATGAAAGCAGGTGAGAAGCAGGTTTCAAAGTTGGCCCTTTCCGTGCAGATAAAAGCGGGAGGGAAGGGAAGCCAAAGGAGGGGGCGGGAGCAGACCGGGGGCGCAGAAAGTGGTGTCGGAAAGGAGGGGAGTGGCGGACGGGCACTGACCTGGAGCCCAGGGACTCCCACTCCTGCTTCCTAACTCCCTGGGAGAGGCTGCGGAAGCCTCTGCCGTTGCGGGGCCCCAGCTTCCTGACAAACGGTGACAGCGCTCTCTCTCCCTGGAGAGGTCTCGGGTCAGGCCCGAGGCCAGGGGGTGGTGTATCCAAGACCGTGCCGCCAGCCCGGGTGGAAGGGAGGTGCGGTGGTTCAGAGGCAGTGGCAGGATGGCTTTGGCAGTGAGTGGGGGAAGCAGCACGGGCGTTCTGGGCTTCTGGGCGGTCTGAGCTCCTCAGCCTGCCAGTCAGGGCCCCCTGGACTTCACTTTCGTGCCTCATCCCCCCAGCCCACAATGGCCATCACGATCTGCTCTTCTCCAGGTACAGCTAGGGGATATTTCCCAGTCTGAGAGCCCATGGGCAGTCAAGCAGGGTGACATCTGTGTATGTCTCCTCACCTAAGGTTGCCATGTAAAGTTGCACAGGCTGTGCACTGCACAACCGCAAGAGAGTGATACAGACAGAGGATGATGGGAATGTTATCCTCTGGAACTGTATGATGCAGAGGTCCTCAAATTAACTTCCCCTCCCTCCCTCCTCAAAGCCCAGCATAGAACTAGGCACAGAGGTGGCTCAGGAATTACTCATTGACTAGGTACAGGGATTTTAGGGAGGTAGCAGGGGGCCCCAAAGCCTCTTCCCCATCCATCCAACACTGGCCACTCTCTCCCTACCCCTGACTTCCTCCTCTGGATCAGTTTCTGCTACAACCTTTCTTTTCTCCTCTTCTGTCTGCCCTTCTTCCAATGTGGGCTATAGTCAGGGTCTCTTCAGCCCCTGCAGCCCCCAAACCTTCCAGGGACCCCACTGCCTCCCTCCCTGCTCTGCCTCTGTCTCCTCTCCCTGTTTCCACATTGCCAGGTGGGGCTCTGCCTCTCTTAGTTACTCTTGTCCCCTTCTCTCTCTCCAATCTCTTCCTCTTCCTCCTCGTCTCTCTGCATCTCTGTGAGTCTGTTTCTCTGTCTCTTTTCCTAGTCTTTCTTTTATTTTTACATTTCATCCATTCACTGTATATTCAGTGAGTGTCCCCTGAGTGCTGAGCCCTGGGATGGCCCCAGGGACACAGCGGAGAACGAATAGATGTAAATCCCTACCCTTGTGGATATTAGTGGGAGAGACAAAGTAATCAGAAAAACAGGGAGCACGTTAGATGATGCTGAAGGCTAACGAGGAAATAGTGAACAGAGGAAAGGGACTGGGGTTGGGGTGGGGTCGAAATTTTAGGGAGAGCAGTCAGGGAAGGCCTCACTGAGGAGGTGACTTTTGAGCAAAGAGCTGGAGGAAGCAAGAGGGCAAACCATGGGGATCCTAGGGTGAGAACGTTCTAGGCTGAGGGATCAGCTGTGGCACGGGCCCTGGGGTGGCGGTGGGCTGGGTGTGTTTGCAAGGCTGTGAGGGGCCAGCGTGGCTGCCGCAGAGAGGACTCGGGAAAGGACCGTAGTGGGCAGGGGGGGTCGGAGAGGATGCAAGGAGGGCGGAGCACGTAGGGTCATGGGTCATTGTCAGGGCTTGGCCTTTTATTCTGAGCCCAACAGGCGCCTTTGGAGAGTGCTGAGCAGAGCAGGGTCAGACTCCGGGTTATGTTTGAGCAGGATCAGGCTGGCTCCTGCAACGATTCTGCAAGGATCCAGGCACGAGGACGCGGCAGCCTGGCCCAGGGCATAGCAATGCAGGTGATGAGAGGTGGTCAGATTCTGGATCTACTTTGTACATAGAGACGATAGCATTTGCTGATGGATTGGAGGAAGGTGTGAGAGAAAGAGAGGAGCTGAGGATGTCTCCAACAATTTTCTCTTTAGAGACAGGGTCTTGCTCTGTCACCCAGACTGGATACAGTGGCACAATCACAGCTCACTGCAACCTCCACCTCCCAGGCTCAAGTGACCCTCCTGGCTCTGGCTCAGCCTCCTGAGAAGCTGGGACTACAGGCACATGCAACCATGCCCTGCTAATTTTTAAAAATTCTTTGTAGAGATGGGGTCTTGCTATCTTGCTCAGGCTGGCTTCAAACTCCTGGCCTCAAGCTGTCCTCCTGCCTTGGCCTCTCCAGGTGCTCGGATTACAGGTGTGAGCCACCACTCCCAGCCTGTCCCCAGTGCTTTCCACCTGAACAACTAGAAGGATGGCGTTGTCGTTCTGGAGATGGGGATGGCTCCAGACGAATTGGTGCTTTGGTTTCTTTTATTTTGGTGGAGAGATTAAGAGCTCAGTTCTGAACATAAGTTTGAGATGTCTAGAGCAGATAGCGGTGGAGATGATGAGAGGGGGAGGTGGGGTGGGGAGAAGAGCCGGGGAGTCGTGGCACAGGGATGGGCTGGCCGAGAGCAGTGGGAGCCAGTGTGGCCGGAGTGCAGCGCTGTGCCTTTGTCACCTGGCTCTCCCTCCTTGTCCCGACTCCCTGTCTCTCTCTGACTGTTTGCACACCCGCTTCCCTGGCTCTACAGCTCCCTATTTCCTCCCACCTCTGGGTACCTCTCTCATCCCCCCCCCCCCGCAGTCTTCCCCTCCCCCCTGCCCGCAGTCTGTGGGGCGATGGCGGGATAGCAGGCAGCAGGCGTGGCCCCGGGCGGGGGTCTCACCGGACGGGCCGGTTGGCGGCGTCGGGGTCCCGCGCCGTCACCACGCCGACCAGGGAGCCCACCTGCGCGTCCTCCTGCACCTCCAGGAGGCCGGAGGGCGGCCGGAACTCGGGGGGCTCGTCCACGTCGGTCACGGCCACACGCACGATCGCCTGGTCGCGGAACGTGCCCAGGTCGGCGAAGCGCGGGTCCACGAACTTGTTGAGGGCCTCCAGGACCACGGTGTGCACGGGCTGGGACTCGAAGTCCAGGCGCTGGGGGAGGCAGCGGGGGGCTGGTTAGTGGGCTGGGGTGGGTGGTCGCTGACTTTCCCAGAGGGGGCGGGGCTGGCCCAGGGTCGCAAGTTGACTCAGCAGGGCCGCGGGGACCTTAGCATGCTCCATGCAACTGGCTGTCAGAGGCCCAGACGACGCTTGAGGGTGGCACGCGGAGAAACCCAGGGTCCCTGGGGACGGGCCTGCCTAGGGACACACAGCCACTCCAGGCCCAGCCGAACCTCCCGCCTCCCCGCACAGCGTGCTGGGATTATTTCATTAGCTTATTTCACAAACACGAAGCGCTTACTATGTGCCAGTGCTTTCAATATATGAACTCATTTCTACAACCACCCTGAGAGAGCAGTGTTATTATTGTCACATTTTACACATGAGGAAATCGAGGCTCAGAAAGGCTCAGTAACTTGCCCGAGGTCGCGGAGCAGGTGAGTGGCTAGCCGAGCCAGGACTGCCCGGCGCACAGGAGCCGGCACTGGCGTGGGCTGAGCCCGATAAGCTGGGCGGCCTTAGAGCTGTCCCCAGAGATCCCACTAAATCCACGCTGAGCCTGCGCTTCTCATCAGGGGTGCTGGAGGGTGACCCTGCCATGAATGAGCTCCACGGCTGTGTGCCAGCTCGGGGCTTCGAAAGACAGTGCCTTGTGGCAGAGAGAAATAGCAATGGCGGGGGGCTGCAAGGACCTCGGTTGCCTGGGGGTGGGATTGGATTGGCAAGGGTGACCTTCCTAGAGACCCTCGGGCAGGTGCCTGCCCTGTTGCATGGGGTCCCTCCACCCCTGCCAGAACCCCGCCCCCACCCTCCTCGGCAGCCAAACAGCCTCCTCCTTCCTCCATCCTGTTGCCTGGGAAATCAGGATGCAGGAGGCAGGCGCTGGCCTGGCCTGGGAGTGAGCGATGGACTCTGGAGCCAGGTCATCAATCAGGCGGGGGCTCTGCTCCCTGAGCTGTCACTGACTCCACAGGGACACCTCAGGCGCCACTGGCGGGAGGGGGCCCGGGAGCGGGGTCGGGCAGCAGGGGTGGGGGGGGCATAGGACAGCCCTAGGGATGAAAGCAAATGCCGTGGTGCTGGGGCTCCGAGGCGGGTCTGGGGCCTGATTCTGCTGCTCTGTGCTGCTGGGCCTCTCCGGGCCTTCACTGCACCATCTGTGAAATGGGCTCACCTAGCGGTAAGGACAAAAAGGGAGATCAAAAGACTGAAAACCCCAGTTTCAGATTTTCCATCTCTACCAAGACAGCTTAAAAGGGTGGATTCTGGAGCTAGACCATCGGGGCCTGCATCCCTGCCAGGCCCTGCTAGACGCCTGACCTTGGGAAAGTTACTGAACTTCTCAGGGCCTCAGTTTCTCATCCATGAAATGGACGAAGACTGTACCTCGGAGGGTCGATGGAGAGATCGATGAGTTAATACATGGAAAGAAACTGGAGGGCACCTGGCACGTGGTAAGCACTTTATTACAAGTATTAGCTGTTATATTATTATCCTCTGGGAAGTAGCTGAAAGAACTGGGAGTTTTCTCCATCCTCAAACCCTCAAAGACAGGCAAAGAGCGGGTCATTATGTGCTTGCTGAGTGAATGAAGGGCTGTTGGGGGCAGACGTGTCTGTGGGTCCTAGAAGACATAGCTCAGGCTGATAGGAGCAGAGTTTAGGAGACACATGCTGGCTGAGTGACAGGAAGAAGAGCTGGACAATGGCATGGAGTGAGCATCCCGTCCCTGGAGGTATACAAAGGCCTAGGACCCGTTGTGGGCCAGTGCAGGGGATTTAGGCCTCCCATGGAGAGTTGGAGTAGACAGTCTTAACAGCCTATACATCCCTGAGTTGCCAAGCCTGTGACCAAATCCTGGAAGATGGATTTTTGCTTCTTCATTTGACCTCTGTCCCCTCCCCTGCCGAGTTTGCAGTGTCAGCTCCTGGCCAGCCAGTGGGCGAGGAAGGCTGTTAGACTCAGGAGGGAACGAGTTCTGGGGTCACTGTCCCTACCCCGTGCCTTACAGGTGCAATCCTGGCAAACTCTTGACCTCTCCGAGCCTCTGGTTTCTCCCCTGTAAAAATGGGGATAATGATCTCAACTTCAGAGGGAAACGTGAGGATTAGAGGAAACGGTGACTGTGGAGGGGCTGGCAAGGACTTGAAGTAGCACATCATAGTGTTTAAGGGCACGGCTTCAAATCTGGAATGAATCCTGGCGCTGACAAATAGCTGTGCAACTTTAGACAAGTCACTTCACCTCTCTGTGCCTGGCTTTCTCATTTGTAAAATGGGACTGATACCATCAGGCTTTTTCCAGGTTGGTGCTGGGTCTCTAGAGAGACCTAATCCCTGGAGTAAGGTGGGCTGGGGGGATCTGACTGCCCAGAGGCCCCCTGGTCCCGCCACCCCGGGGACCTGCCCGCCCCGCCCCCCTGAAGCAGCCGCACCTTCTGCACTACGATGATGGCCTCCTGAGTGTCGCTGTCCGTGGTGACCTTGAACACATCGCCGCCGCTGCCGCTCTCCTCCTTAAGGTGGTAAGTCATGTCTGTGTTCTCGCCCACGTCCGAGTCCTCGGCCTTCACTCGTCCCACGGCCGTGCCGACGGGGGCTGACTCCTGGACGCTGAACTGGTACATCTCTGCGGGGACACGGCCATGAGTGGGCTGGAGGCAGCCCCGCCCCAGCCTCCGCCAGCTCCGGGGGAGGGGAGAAGGGCCCAGATGAGCCCCTAGGGAGGGCAGTGTCCGCAAGGGGCTCCCCGCGCGGCTCGGATGGGGACTGGGAGAGGCGTGTCCTCTGCAGAAGTTTGGGTGACAGTGCAAAGGGAGGGGTGCTAATTCTGACCCTTGGGTTTATTCCCTGATCAACTCTGGAAAATGCCTGCAGTTCTTTGGGCCTCAGTTTCCCCATCTGCCCAGCAAGGGGGGCAGAGGAGCACAGTGCTAAAGGCCAAGGCTCTGGAGTCAGTCCCAGCTATCTAACCCTGAGCCTCAGTTTCCTCATCTGTAGAATGGAAATAATAATGGTGCATTCCTAACAGCAGTGCTGTTATGGCAATCACCATAGATGATGACACACGTAAAATGCTTAGTACAGTGCCCAGCACATGGTAGCTACTCAATAAATGCAACAAATTGTGTTAGAATGGTGGGGCTTCAGGCTGATTTTGCTGTTGCTGTTAATGGCCTGTAGTCCTTCATTTCAATATGTATATTGAGCACCTACGATGGCCCAGACTTCATAGTTCTAGGCACTGGGGTTACGGCAACACATAAAACGCACCAAAATCCCAGCTCTCCTGGTGCTTTCTTATTAATGGAAAGAGAAAGATACTTATCAGTCACATCAGTAAAACATACAGTGTGTCCAGTGGTGACAGGTGCTTAGGAGAAACATAAAGCAGGGAAGGTATGGGACTGCCAGTGAGGGTGTCGTTGTGGTTTTAAGTAGGCTGATCAACAAAGGCCTTCTGAGAAGATGACATTTCTGCAAAAGTCTGAGGGAGGGAAGGGAGCCAGCCAAGCAGATATTTGGGAAAGAGCATTCTAGACAGAGGGGACAACAGGTGCAAAGGCCCTGGGGTGGGCGCAATGCCTGGCATGGTTGAAGAATGGCAAGATGGCCCTCGTGGCTGGAGGGGAGAAGCAGAGGGGAAACCAGAAGGAACGAGGTCAGACGGGACACAGAGAGCACCCTGCATTCCAACTAGAGCTGAGATCGAGGTGACGGTGACTTGCTAAATGGTGGGCTAGCCTGGGAGAAGCGGGGGCTTTGGGGATATGTCTCTTGGGGTCCCCACAGGTCTGGTAAATCCATGTGTGGAGTAGCTGCCCCTGATTCATTTTCATACAGCAGCTAGGAGGGTGCTTTTTAAAACACAAACTAAACATGCCACTCCCCTGCTTTAACCTCTTCCATAGCTCCCTGCTGCCCTTGGATGGAGCCGTGCAAGCCCCCTGGCCTGCCCTACGAAACGCTTGCTGCCTGGCCCCTGCTGACTTCTCCAGGGGCATCCTCCACTCGCCACCCCGACTCCAGCTGCACCCTGGCTGAGGTCCCGGTGATCCTGTAACTGCGACTCGCTCTCTCCCCCCTCCAGGCAATTCTTCTCCCTACCCTCTGCCTTTGCCCCCCAGCTCCTACTCCTCACTGAATGTCACCTACTCCAGGGACCTTCCCAGACCTCCACGCTCTGCTCCTGTGCCCTGTGCCCCCCCCGCCCCCCCTTGCTTATCCCATGGTGGGGATGACTGCATTTGAGTCTCATTCTCTATTTGTTCCCTCTCGGGCACGAGCTCCTGGAAGACAGAGACCTCGTCTCCTATTCGTCAGGCCTTCCCAGGGCCCGGCACGATGCCAGGCTGTTGCATAAATGAAACGTGTGGGGGACGAGAGAGTGTGTGAGTGAACACCAGCAAGGGTGACCAGCAGACACTCCCCAGACAGGCACAAAGCAAAGTCTGACAACACCAAGTGTCGGCGAGGATGTGGTGCAACGGACACATGCATTTTCTCACGGAGGTGAACAGTCTGGCTTCACCCAGCGAGGTTGAAGATGAGCATGCCGTGACCCAGCAATTCTTCTTGTCTGTATATACACTCGAGAATGTGTGCAAGTTGGCACTGAGAGACATGCAACGAGGTCTAAACAGTGTCCTTCCCAGTAGCCCCGAACTGGAAACAGCCCAAATGCCCATCAACAGCAGCATAGACAGATCATGGAATACTATACAGCGATGAAAACGAATACCTATGGCTAGAAGCACCAGCACGATTTCAAAAACATAACTTTGAGGGATAAAAGGAAGACAAAAACCAATTTGTATTGTATGATCCCATTTATACAAGGCTCAAAAATGGGTGAATTTAGAGTGTTTGGTGACACACATGCGGGGGAACAGATGCTAAAGAAAAAGCAGGGAGGTGGCGGTCACACAGCAGGCGGCAGCTCATCCTGGAGGAGGGGGGGATGATATGACCAGGGAAGGACACGTTGGGCTTCTGGGTCCTGGCGGTCACAAAAGCATCCGCTTTGTGATTCTGTGTTGAAATGGACATTCATATTTTATGCCCTTCTGTTTATGTGCTGTATTCCATAATAAAGAAATGGGAAGGACAGAAAGGAAGAAAGAAAAAGGAAGGAAAGGAAAACCAGCCTTCCTGGGGCCCTGGCTTGTCGCTGCTCGGCCGCCCCTTCCAGCTCAGAGCCAGCACAGAGCCTGGCAGGGGCAGGCCGGACAGACTGCGTGGGTCCCGCCCTCTGCAGGGTGCTTGCAGCGTGCCCTCCGTGGGGGGCTGGGCTGAGAGGGGGGCCGAGCAGGCGGCTGGCTGCTGGCTGTGCCGGGCTCCCTGGTGACGGGAAGCCGGCTGGCGGGCTCGCCCACCCCGCTCTGTGTCTGGGCCGAGGCGCTGGGCCGAGCTGCTGCTGCGCTCTCAGCTAAGGGATTGGATTCCCTTATCTCCCGGGGGTCAGTCCCCTGTGGCGGGGCCTAATGTGAGAGCAGCAGACCTCAAGTAATGACTCGCCCGATAGGAATCAGCCCAGCTCCCCGCGGCATTTAGTCTCTGCCAGCTCCAGTGGCTTCCCTGTCTCTGCTCGGCCTGATCCTGGGACAGAGGGGCTGGCTGGGCTGACAGGGAGGTGGGGGACTGGGCCAGAGAGAGGCAGGGGGAAGGGTCTCCTGTTTCAGCAGTGCAGGCTCCTGCTGTCCAGGCTCAGAGCGGGAGGGAGACAACCGTCACTCAGACCCAGACCTTCCACGCACAGCTGCGGGCGTCCCTCTGCCCGGCGTGGCGGCTGCGGCTGCCTCCGTCCCCATGTGCCCTGCCAACACCTTCCCTTCGCAAGCCCAGCTCAGCAGCCGTGTCTGTGCAGTAAGCTGCTAGGGCTGCGGGCACGGGCCCGTGGGGCTGGGACAGTGGACAGCGGGGTGCACAGGTGGCCCCGTCTGCGGGAGGCTGCAGGAGGGCTGGGAAGGCAACGGCGATCCTCGGCTGTGCAGAAGACCAGACATCGCTGGAGCCTTCCTCTGCCGGAAGTGTGGCTGGAGCGGGGCTGGGGCCGGCGGGTGACTGGGGTGGGCTGACAGACAGGTGGGCGTCCCCTTGGGTGGGAAGCCTATAAGGAAGCCGGCTCAGTGGCTGGCTCGGATGGGCTGAGACAGACACAGATGCACCTTCCTTTGGGAAGGCCTCACTCACTCTGCGGGAAACGAGGTGGGTTGTCGTTGACGTCGGTGACCACGATGGTGACGGTAGTGGAGCCCGAGAGGCCACCCAGCTGACCCGCCATGTCTGTGGCCTGGATCACCACCTCGTAGCGCTCCTGGCTCTCTCGGTCGAGGTCAGGCACAGCCGTCCGGATCACGCCTGCGGGCGAGCGAGGGTGAGGACAGGGACACGCCCGCCACCAGCTGCCGGCTGACGCGGAGACCCCTGCACAGGCTGCGGCACCGGGCACCGGGGCCCGGTGAGCTCCGGGTTAGTTCAAGTTCAGGGGGAGAGCGGATGACTTGGAAAACACACACACTCACAGAGAGACACCCACACGCAGGCTCACACGGACACACCCACACACACGCACACAGGCTCATACAGACGTGCTTGCACAAATGACTCACATACACACCACACATACACACGAACATATTCATGACACACTGATATACTCTCAAATACACACACTCACATACACCCAATAATACACACACACTCTTACATATATCCACATGCACGACTGTTGCACACACACACACACATTTCCACGCAGACGTGCTAGCCAACACGCACAGCTGCGTTGCTCTCGCGTTGCGTCTGCGTGCGTGAGGGAGTGTCCTCACACGCCTCTGGATCCCTGAGTGCCGTCGACAGGCTGCGCTGGGGGGTCTGGAGGCCACGTGTGGCCTTGAGGCTGCAGGTTCCTGCCCCGCACACTGTCATACACACTCACATACATGCACTTTCAAACACGCGCTCTTTCTCACACACACAGACAACGTAAAAGCAACAGAATGGACTACTTTGTTTGCTAAAAAAAAGAAAAGAAACGAAACGAAAAGAAAAGGCCTACAGCAGACTAGAACCTGCCACTGTGTGAGCCCCACCTTGCCCCTGGGAACCGGTCCCACTTTTGGGGCCTCAGTTTCCCCACCTGATATTCTATGCATGAGCCAGGCCTGTGCCTGATTCGTCTCTGGGAGCGACACTCAGCCCAGAGGCAGGCGCGGAACGGAAGGGTGGGCGTGTAGCAGTGGACGGGACTCACATCCACACCACGCACGCTCAGCGAGCCGCCGTGCTCACCTGCGCACACGCCTATGGGCCACGCACACACCTATGGGCCACGCACACACAGTGCACACGCCGGGTCAGGGCCGCCCACCCAGTGGGGCTCCCTAGCGCCACAGCTATGGGCCACGCACACACAGTGCACACGCACACAGTGCACGCACGCTCAGCGAGCCGCCGTGCTCACCTGCGCACACGCCTATGGGCCACACACACACAGTGCACACGCACACAGTGCACGCACACTCAGCGAGCCGCCGTGCTCACCTGCGCACACGCCTATGGGCCACGCACACACAGTGCACACGCACACAGTGCACACGCACACAGTGCACGCACGCTCAGCGAGCCGCCGTGCTCACCTGCGCACACGCCTATGGGCCACACACACACAGTGCACACGCACACAGTGCACGCACACTCAGCGAGCCGCCGTGCTCACCTGCGCACACGCCTATGGGCCACGCACACACAGTGCACGCACGCTCAGCAAGCCGCCGTGCTCACCTGCGCACACACCTATGGGCCATGCACACACAGTGCACGCACGCTCAGCGAGCCGCCGTGCTCACCTGCGCACATGCCTATGGGCCACGCACACACAGTGCACGCACGCTCAGCGAGCCACCGTGCTCACCTGCGCACACGCCTATGGGCCACGCACACACAGTGCACACACGCTCAGTGAGCCGCCGTGCTCACCTGCGCACACGCCTATGGGCCACGCACACACCTATGGGCCACGCACACACAGTGCACGCACGCTCAGCGTGCCGTTGTGCTCACCTGCGCACACGCCTATGGGACACGCACACACAGTGCACGCACGCTCAGCGTGCCGCCATGCTCACCTGCGCACACGCCTATGCGCCACGCACACACAGTGCACGCACGCTCAGCGTGCCGCCATGCTCACCTGCGCACACGCCTATGCGCCACGCACACACAGTGCACACACGCTCAGCGTGCCGCCATGCTCACCTGCGCACACGCCTATGGGCCATGCACACACAGTGCACACACGCTCAGCGTGCCGCCGTGCTCACCTGTGCACACGCCTATGGGCCATGCACACACAGTGCACGCACGCTCAGCGTGCCGCCGTGCTCACCTGCGCACACGCCTATGGGCCACGCACACACAGTGCACGCACGCTCAGCGAGCCGCCGTGCTCACCTGCGCACACGCCTATGGGCCATGCACACACAGTGCACACACGCTCAGCGTGCCGCCGTGCTCACCTGCGCACACGCCTATGGGCCACGCACACACAGTGCACGCACGCTCAGCGTGCCGTTGTGCTCACCTGTGCACACGCCTATGGGCCATGCACACACAGTGCACACACGCTCAGCGAGCCGCCGTTCTCACCTACGCACACACCTATGGGCCACGCACACACAGTGCACGCACGCTCAGCGTGCCGTTGTGCTCACCTGCGCACACACCTATGGGCCATGCACACACAGTGCACACTCACAGCCACTTTCTCACATTCTTATCCACACCCTCCCCCCACAACTAAATTCTCCCCAGCCCTGGGGGCCTCCGTCCCTCCCCCTCCTGGGCCCTCTGTCCAGCCAGCAGCTAACCGCTGACAATCCTCTGAGCTGTGGATGGAAGTGGGGAGGGGGCAGCAGGAGAGGGGTGGCTGCAAGGTTCATTCTGCTGAGGGAAGGCTGGGCTCTGGTCACCTGGCAGCAGAAGAGACTGGGTCTGGGAGGGGAGTTGATGAGGCATTCAGAGCCTCTCCCGCCACCCTCTCCAACCTGCCGAGCACCAGGTGGTGACAGGTGGTGCCCAGGGCCTGTGCGCCAGGTGGAGTCATGCACCAGCAGCCCCATGATGTGCCCCATAAAACCCAAGCTCCGACACCTGATGTCCCCACGCGGTCCCCAGCCTCCAGTAAAGACAGTGGAATGGAAGGAGAGGCCGTAGCGTGTGCGCGTATGTGTGTCTGCATGTGTATTTCTGTGTGAGGCTGGGGTAGCCAGAGGAGGGGCGCCTAGGGGGTGGTCCTGCTTTTGTGGGATCACATGGAGATATGGAATGGGCATTCTGTCTAATTGAGGGTCACATAGACGCTCTATCGGTGGCCCTCAAGACTCCCGAACAGGCCCCCAAACTCCTCCTCTGCCACAGCTGGTTTTCCAAAGAACAGGGGAGTCTTGGGAGCAGATTGCCTTGGGATAAACCCCAGATTGGCCTTTTTTTTTTTTTTTTTTGGCCATGCGATTTTGAGCAAATCCCTTTACCTCTCTGAACCTCAGTTTCCTTATCTGTAAAATGGGGACAACCATTATACCTACCTGAGAACAGAATTTCTCAAACTTGGCACTATTGATATTTTGGGCAGGAAAGTCTTTGTAGAGTGTGTATGTGTGTGTCCTGTATATTGTAGGGTATTTAGTGGCATCCTTGACCTTGACCCACTAGATGCCAGCTGCAGCAACCCTCCACCTCAGTTCCCAAAGTGTCTCCAGCCATTGTCAATTGGACCCTGGAGCAAAATCAGTTGAGAACCACTGAAAACAACCAGTGTAGGATTTCATCTCATGAGAATTATGTAAAAATAAGAATAACTAACATTTATGTGCATTGACTTAGTGAGTTGCCTCCTTTAATCCTCTCAATATCCAGAGGAAGGTGCTGCGATTATGCCCATTTTATAGATGAGGAGACAGAGGCAGAGAGAGACTAAGTACCTTGCTCAAAGTCACGCGTGTAGAAAGTGCGCAGCTGGGATTCACGCAGGCACTCTGGCAACTGAGTGCATATTCTTAGCTGCTCTGCTAGACTGCTGTAAGGACGAAGGTCCCTTCCCAGTCCACCCCATGTCCCCTGCCTCAGCCACCCGAGGTCCAAGGGGGTGGTCCTGCTTAGCCCCTGGAACATCTTCCTTGTTCTTCTTGGTCCTGACCAGGCAAGCCATGTTTTTATGGTGCAGCAAGCCCCTCGGCTGACACCCCACATGGCTGCCCTCCTTGCTGTCCCTGTCACTTCCAGCTCCAGAGAAACTAGGGGCACTAAACTCTTCTCATTTGGAAGCTGGCCATGAAGGCATATACAATGTGCGATTCAAGTGCCATCTCTGGGTGTGTATGAAGTGGGTGCCCAGAGGTCATGCTACCCCTGGACTCCGTTCCCAAGGTCACACGCTGCAGATAGGTTGCTACGGTGATAGTGCCCAATGAACCACACTGTCCTGTATGCACACTCTTAGGTTGTCCCCTCCCACACTGACCCTGGCCTTGGCTGTGTGCCTTGCTCTGGACAATGGGACATCAGCAAGCGTGACAAAAGTAGAGGTCTGATAAGCCCTTGTGTGTGCATAGGCCTGTCCTCTTGGAATCCTGAGACCACCGTGCTGGGAAGACGCCCGGGATGAAAGGCCACTCAGAGACAGCCCCAGTCGTGTCAGCTGTCCCAGCTGAGTCAGCCCCTGGCAACTGACAGCTGACCATTGCCACAGGAGTGACCCCAGCAAAAGAACTGCCCTGCCAGCCCTCAGAGGTGTGACAAATAATAAATTGTTGTAAGCCATGAAGTTTTGGGGTAGTTTGCTCCATAGCCCCAAATAACTGATAGAGAAGTCTGGTTGGCTGGGCTGTTCCCCTGCCAGTTCTGTCTGGGCCACTCACACAGCTGCGCCTCACTGGAGGAGCAGCTGGCGGAAGGTCTGAGATGGCTCATTCATACACCTGGCAGTTGGTCCTGGCTGTGGCTGGGACAGGTTGGTTCTTTCATCCTCCAGTGGACTGGCATCCTCACATGGCAATCTCAGGACTGTGTTCCAGGAGAGCAAAAGTGAATGCTGAGAGGTCCCTTAAGGCCTAATCTGTTAATCTGCATAGCATCCATTCTGCTGCACTCTATTAGACAAAGCAAGTCCCAGGCCCGCCCAGACTCAAGGGGTGCAGAGACTCCACCCCTCAGTGGCAGCAGCGGTAAAGTCGCATTCCTAAGAGCTGTGCACAGGGCTGGGAGGAACCCATGGCGTATTTTCCTAGCTACTAGGTTCCACTCTCCAGGGACTCTCCCTCCTGGTACTGGGGGAAGCACCATGGAAGCTGTTACACTCCTGGGGGAGGGTGTCTAGGGTACAAAAATCCCAAGTCAGTCCATGAAGTTGTTCTTGAAACTTTCTGCCTCTGCACGTCCACTCATTCATTCATTAGACTCTCACTGCGGTGCCGGCGGTGCCAGGGCCACACAGCGCCAGACGGCAGGCGGGGTGAAAAGGCGGGACCCTGCAGGCAGGTATGGGTTCCAGTCTTCCCACCCTGCACCTTGGGCAAGTTCTGGAGTCTCTCTGAGCCTCTGTCTGCTGTTCTGTAAAACGGAGATACCTTCCCAGGAGGGCTATGGAGAGGGTTAAATGAGACGAAGCTTCTAGCAGCGGGACTTACACTTTGGAGATGCCTCGCTGATGCTTTTCCTCAAGTCCCGGGTTGGGGACCCCATGGATAAGGTCCACAGGGGCAGGGATCCATGCTGGCTTTGCTTATCATGGTATCTACAGGGCTTGGCACACAGCAGGCGCTCAGACAGCATTTTGACTGACCAACTCCCCCGGACCTCAGCCACCCCTCTCCCAGCCCGGCTGCTGCTGTGTCTGTGCTTTGGGCTTCTCTGTTGGAACCAAAGCTCCGTGAGGGCAGAAACCAGGTCTAGTTCGTTATCCAGACCTCGGGATCTGGCACTCAGAAGGTGCTCCACAAATGTTAGCTTCATTCCCTCCCGGTAAAACGGCCGTCTCGGGCACGGCGGAGGATTTTCAGCAGAGACGCTGGAGTCTCAGAGTCTTTCTGTTCCCGAGGGGGTGGTGGTGGGCGGGGGCTGGTAATTATAACCCGGCCTCGGCTCCCACAGCCCTGTCTTCACCCAGCGTCCCGGCTCCGGCTGTTGTCCTCACCGCCCCCGCTGTCCCCTCCAAATGCTGCAGAAGGGGCCTGGAGCCCGTGTGACGCCTCATTAGCCTGCAAATGCCATCCCTGTCGCCCCTGTGGGGGGTTTGCTGGCAGGCCTGGCCTTTAAAACACACAAGTTAATTCCTCCTCAGGCACAGGGGCCTGGCGCTGCCCCGCCTCCTCCCTCCGCTCACACCTTCCTCGCAGGCCCGTTCCGGCTCTGCTCCCTGCTATCTGCACAGCGAGAACAGACTGTACCTCGCAGCAGCTGCTAAATATAGCCCCGCATCGGCGGAATATTCCTGGCTGGGGAAATAGAGCTGGGGCTGGGAATGGCACGGGGCGGCTCTCGCCGTGGGGCTGCGGGCAAGGGCGGGGGAGCTGGTTCTTCTTGGGAAATGGCAAGAAGGACCCTTTCAGACTGAGAAGTTGGGGGACCCTGGAAGGAGGACCCCATTTCAACCCCTTCAGCCTGCCGCACCTGCTGCTCGCTCTCTGGCTCCTTGGGAACTGGTCCTGCGCCCCCGGGCACTATGGCCTCCACTTGCCACCTTCCTCCCGACCCTGTGCACTGCAGGATGCTCTTCAGTAGACACTGGCTGCCTTCCTCACCCTTGTGGACATCTGCCCGCCCTGGCCACCCCCAAGACTCAGTCCTGGCCCTTCCATCATGTCTGTGTTTGTCCCTTCCTCCCTCGCAAAGGCTTTACAACCTTAAGGTCTGCTCCCTCCTACTCAGGCTCAATGGATGAAGGCTTCTCACCACCATCATCATCCCCGGTACCAGGTGCTGGGCTGAGCACGTCACAGACTCGATGTCTCCTGGGCCTCCTTCCAGTGCTCCTCCCAGAAACCCACGTGGCTCACACCCTCGCTTCATTCAGTCTCTGCCCCAAGGTCGCCTTAGTCTGAGTCTACCTCCTCACTCTGCCTTCCGTCTCTTCCTCACACTCATCGCTACCTGGCGTTATGTGAAATGCTATGTGCTCGTTTTCTGTATTCTCTACCTCACTACAAGCTCCACGAGGGCAGAGCCTTAGATGTGCCGGCTGCTGCAGTCCTCGTGCCTGGAACAGAGGCTGGCACGCAGTAGGCACTCAATAAATAGTTGCTGAGTGAATGAACCCTCCCATGGGGTCCTCACCACACCTATGTGGGGTGGGTATTGTTATCCCCAAGGGAAACTGATGCTTAAAGACCCCCAAGGAGCTCCACGCCATCTTTCAGAGGGCGGCTAGAGGTTACATGTGTTTCCTTCCCTCCTTCTCTCATCTTAGAGCCGACATGATTCGAGTGGAATCATTTAGCTCTGCATCAGATGCCAGCACATTGGCTAATTCCTCTGCTCCTAGATGGTTTTCCTAAGTCACATTCCTCCTGTTTCTGTTTTGGTGGCCCTGCCTAGATGAATTCACCCAACTGGCTAGAGAGATACTCCCAATTCCTCCCTCAACCTAGTCCTGTGGATTCATCTAGGTCCCCAAGGTTTACCCTTTGCAGGGTCTCACTGCCACCTCTGCCAACCCCCCTTGTCTTTCTGCAACGTCCCAACTAACCCTCACAACCAACCCTTCATCACCTCTGGCCTCTGAACTCAACAGGCAGGTTAAGGAGTCTGAGTAGGTGTCGAGAAAGGATGTAGCTTTTGGTTTCTGTCCTTCAGGGCTCTACACTGGGCATCCCAGGCTCTGGGGCCTTCCTGTCTCCACTTCCTGCCTCTGAGCCAAGCTCTGCAGCACAGCCCGAGGGACCTTGTTAAAATGAAAACCTGAGCTTGTCACTTCATTGCTTAGAAGTCGTCAATGAACCCTCAATGTTGGTGGGGGGAGGAGAAACAAGCACTCTCACACAAGCTCGAGAGTGTCATCTGGTCCATTTCGGCATTATCTACCGAGATTCCAAATGCATGTGTTCTTTGACCCAGCTTTTGCACTTCCCGAAAATTATCCTGCAGATACACTCACACAAGCACAGATGATGTATGTATGAGGTTATTCACTGTAGCACCGTTCGTTGTAGCAGAAAGATTGGAAACAGCATAAGTGTCCATCAGGAGGGGACTGGCTAGATAAATTTCAGTGTATCCCTAACACGCATTAAATAAAAGAACGAGGAAGCTCTTTATGTACCGATATGGAATAATCTTCAAGATGTATTGTTAAGCAGAAAAGGCAAGCCCTGTGTATAGCATGTGTTTATAGCTACCATTCGTGTAAAAAAATAAAACAAATATAATACATGTACCTTATTTTCTTGTACATGTATAGAATAGCTCTGGAAAGATATACAAGAAAATTGTGTTGGTTGCCTCGGGGACACAGACTGGGTGGCTGGGGGACTGGATGGGGTGAAGAATTGCCACTAAATACCTGTTTGGACTTTTTGAATTTTAAACCTTGAAATGTGTATCTATTAAAAAAATGACAATATTTTCAAGTGAATGAGTCTAAGATCTCGTAGGATATATATGCCAAGTGGCTACCTTTGGGGCTGTCATTACTGGGGATAGGGAGTGGGAAGCACTTTTTTCTTTTGTTTTTAACATTTCTTTAATGTTTGAATATTTTCTAAAATGCATTACTTTTTGTAAGGAGAAAAAATAATGAAGATATTATGTGTGAGAGAATACAATTATAACAGTGCTTGGAGAATGGAATCTTACCCCGTCCCCGCTAAACGAAACAGAAACACACACACACACAAAATCCAAAACCCAAATCCATCAGCTGCCCCCCTCTCTGACCCACCCCCTAGCCTGGCCCTTTGCCCTTAGAATAAAATCCAAGCGCCTAGCCTGGGGATACCAGCAACAGTCGGGCCCTGGCCAGCCTCCCGACATCACCTCCCAACACGCCTGATCACCTCGGCCTGAGTTGCTCACGATTTCCCTCAAGCCTCGGTTGTTCTCTTCCCCTCAGCTTTTGCCTGAGCCATGCCCTCTGCCTGGCATGCCCTTCTCTGCAACCTCAGTCTGGCATAGCTCCTTCCCCTTTGGAGACTGCTGCTGCTGCTGCTTCCAAAAAGCCCTAATTGCCCACCCATATGCCTGTCATCCTGCCCTGCAGGGCTTCGAGCCCCATGAGGACATTGGACAAATGCTCTGTGTCATCTGAGATATCTTATCCCCAACTCCACCCCTGCCCTGCCCCTCCTATCCCAGGAGCAGTGAGAGTCCCCTGTTGGAAGCAGCAGCCACCCTAGCTGTGTGACCTCGGGTGAGTCACTTTACCTCTCTGGGCCTCAGTCTCCTCACTCTGTCCTCCCAGCCCTTTCCCCCCAAGGACCCTCAGAAGACTAGTCAAGCTCTAACCCTGCAGTGAGTGCAGTGGGGAACCATGGAGGAGGTGAGCAGCGTTGCTTGGCGGTGGTGTTGGAGGGGGGAAGGATAAGCAAAAATGAAGCCGCCCTTCCATAACGGTCCCTAAGTGTCCCCGTCTTTCCATCAGACCGTAACTACTGCCATGTGAACAGAGCTCCCAAAACAGCTGCAACGGAGCACTTCCCCAGCCACCCGCTGCCCCAACCTGCACTGTGACTGGGAAGGGCTGAGGACAAACTTGCTGCAATTGAGCTCCAAGGACAAGTGGAGCCGCTTAGTTTAGACCTTTGAGGTCCTTTCAGGACGCCCACAGTCTCTTGTCTTTTTGCTTCTCCGACAGTTCTGCAGGACACCCTCCCCCCCATTCCTTTCCTCTCCTCGGCCCTTCCCTCTCCCTGCCTGGCTAACCCTAACCCTCCCCTCTCTGTGACCCTGGAGTCTCGGTAGCCCCAGATGCCTCCTGTCCTCTGTGCTACCCTCAGAGCTGTTGACAGGTCAGAAGGCCAGCCAGATGTCTGGGGGTGTCCTTGGCAGCTTCGGCCTCACCCCCACCCTCATCCCACCCCCCGTGGCTCCCTTTGGCCTGGCCCCGCCCCTCACCGGTCTTGGGGTCCACGGTGAAGTGGTGCTCGCCGTCCAGCAGGCTGTACACCAGCCGAGCGCTGCTGCCGTAGGTGGGGTCATCCGCATCCGAGGCCATCACCTGCATCACCGACGTGCCTAGGCCCGGGGGACCAAGCGAGATGGGCGTCATCTGGGGCTGCTGTCCCCTCACCCCTCCCCACCCCAGGGACCTGGAAGAGGACACGCTGGAGACATCCCCATGCTCACTCTGAGTCCCAGCCCGCTTCTTGGCCCGGGGCCTTCCTCCTGGCTCAAGCACCGCCGTGGAGTCAGCCCCGGGCTCAGATCCCCCGTGGGTGGCTGCCAGCGGTGGGGCCCTGGCGAGGAAGGACAGCCTCTCTGAATCTCAGTTCCCTTTTCAGCAAAATGGGGATAATCCCAGTCCTTGGTTCACCAGGGTAGGGGAATGGATTCTAAACTCCAAGCACAGGGCAGCTCAGAGCAGCCTCTCAAGGATGGTGGCAGCAATCGTTGTCACCAGTTAAGGTCATCACAGTCAGAGCCAGAGCCAGGACTGGAAACCAGGGCCCGACTCCTAGCCCAGACGTCGTTCAACCCACTCCAGCCCCTCCTAATTCTTCAAGGGACTTCTGCGTCCTCGCTCCCACCACGGCAGTAGGGGGCAGCCCAGAGGGCCAACTAAGTTCACTGGGGCTCAGGGGCCAGTGTCTCTTGGCCCGTGGGCAGGAGAGTGGCAGCACCAGCTTTCCCTTTGGAGAGTAGCTGCTGTGAGCCCTGGTGCCCTCCTCGCCCCTCCCCCGGGTGCCCAGGCAGCCCACCCCCAGCCGCACGCACGCTTCTCCTCATGCTCTGCACGTAGGCTGCTGGGGAGAGTATAAATTGGATAAAAGTCCATCAAAGAGCGGCAATTAAGTTATTGATTTTCGACGCTGCCTCATTAAACTGGGAGCTTCTTTCGGCCTGTCCCAGAGATGGCTCTAATTTGACATCATGTTCAATTTGACGAAAGCAGGCTTGGGACGTGAGGGTGGACCAGGTGGGGGTGAGGGTAAGGGGAGGGGAGGGTCAGATGGGGGGGCAGCAAAGCCGTCTAGGCCATCCAAACCTTTCCAGAAGGAAGGGAATGAGATGCAAGACCCGAGAGGAAGTCTTGGGGGCTCAGGATATGACCCAAAGGGGAGGAGACTGAGACCCCACTTCAGGGAGAGGCCCTCTGCCGGGTGCCCTGCTGGTGGGGCAGGTGGGGCCCTCCTGGGGCGGGGTGGGCGCTCTGGGCCAGCAGGGCGGCATGCTGGGAGGTGAGGCCAGTTCACCGCCTGGCTAATGAGTAAGACTCTGGAAGTGCTACTGCAGCAATTCTGCTAAGCCCAGCCCGCCGCCTGCCTCTCCCACCTCCAGCCTGGGGCCCTCGATCATTCCAGACAGACACATGTATTTATTTTTCACTCTTTTGCATTTCTCATTTCCCTCTCCAGTTCCCCCTCCCAGCCAGAGCCTCCTAAACTGGCCCTGCAATGCGCCTCTCTCTTTGGCCACTCCAGCTCCATGTCAACCACATCAGAGTTGCCTGGGGAGGCTGGGGAAGGAGAGTGGGCAAGCCGCCTCCCTCCTGACACTGGAGTCCAGGGGTCTCCTAGTCATGGACAAGAACCCGGCCCCAGGTGCCTCCTGACCATACAGAGAGAAGAACAGGAATGAACTCCTAGTGAGCACCCTCTGCATACTTGTCTATATCAGCCACTTAAACCCGACACCTCTAATCCTCATAGCATCTCAGAGACTCACAGTGGGACCCTCTAATAATGCAGGTGAGCAAACAGGTCAGATAATGGAGGAAAAGATTTGATCATGGGCACAGAGTGAGGAAGTGGTGGTGGGATTTGAATCCAGGACTCTGTGATGCCAAAGCCCTTCTAGAAACCAATGTTAGCACAAGCACATTGACTTTGGAGCTGGTGGCTTGGTGTACTGAGTCACAGTCAGTGATGGAGCTGCTACTTAGTAGAAGTTTGACCTTGGACATGTCACGAATCCCTTTGTGCCTCAATCACCTCATTTGTGAAATGAGGATGACAGTATTACAAATCTCCTAAGATCATCTTGAGAATTCAAATACATAACAGTTCCATGTTCAGCACCGAGGACAGTACCTGGCCCATGTCAAGAACCCAGTGGTTATTGTTGTCTCGGGAGGCATGGCATGCCGGATTCAATGGCACAATTATGCCTCCCCCGCACGGAGGCATTGAAATGGCAGAAGACACATAAAGCATCAGGGACATGGTGACTGTGCAGTAAATAGTGGCTGTTGTAACTGTTATGTGAGAGGGTCTCCCTGTGACTTCCCTCGGCAGGCCCCCCGCCCCCGAGCAGGGCACAATGCCGGGCTGAGCGACTCCCCAGAGACACGGCTGAGCTCGCTCGCTCTGTCCGTGGCTGCATCCCAGGAACTCCCGAGGGGATGATGGAATCGTTTCCCCAATCCGGGATTCTTTATTGCAGCCATTACAGTTAATGCCGACACGTGGGGATGGTGAAGGGTCAGTGATTCACCACTGGTTCCACAGGCCCCGTGGGAATGGCTTCCTCAGGCCACACAACCTCTCCCACCTCCTTCACAAGTCAGCAGCTCTCCAGAATTGGCAGACAAAAGGGAGCCAGGCTCGTGGCTGCTGTGGACCACCTCGGGGTCATCCCCCAGATGTTCGGCAATTTACATTTTACAGTGCTCTGTCATGTCCACTGTTAGACCTCCCATCGACTCTGTGATACATGCAGATGCAGTGGTGTGCTGCTGAATGTCTAACCATCGGCTCCTGGGGGGTGGAGGGGTAGGGGGAATGCCCTGCTTTACGGAGTTTGCTGATTTCCATGTGTAAATACTCCAGTCATGACCCAATTTCAAGCTACCAATGTGGTATCAACTGGCCCACAAAACCAATATGTGGCTTCCGTGAGCTGGTACAGCCGACTTGAGCACACCCTGAGTTGTTCCCACCCTACAGCTGAGGAGACCACTATGCACAGCAAAGGGTGCAAACGTGAATTAATATTGCAACCTATTATTAACTATATATCCTTATTTAATAACAATGATAATGATAGATTCTATTTATTGAATAACTACTTTGTGTTAGATACTATAAGTTCTGATGTACATTATCACATGGAATTTACAAAATAAAGCCTTGAGATGGGCTCTATTAAGGTTTCCATTACAGATGAGTAAATGGAGGCTGAGTGAAGTTAAAGATTGAACCTCAACTTTCCTCATTTGTAAAACGGGGGTAACAGCACTACCAAACTCTCAGATCCTTGTGAGAACTCAAACAGATTTCCGTGTTCAGCACCGAGGACAGTGGCTGGCCAAGTTCACTGGGCAAGGAAGTAGAAGCAAGATTCAAACCCTGGTGGATCTGATGTCAAAACCCACATGCATCCTGCCTTAAAGGTAGGAGAAGGGGTTGGCTGGAGTAGAAGTGGAGAGGCAAGTGAGTGGGAAGACTCAGAGGCAGAGGGAGGGAGAGAATCGGGAGGTGAAGAGCAGGAAGTTGAGTTCAGATTCTCCTCCCCTAACTTCCAGAAGGAGGGCTGGGCTGGCTGGGATGTGAGGTTCGCTGTCCATGGTACTACCCCCAGTCCTTTCGCTCCAGGCTGGAACAGCAAGGGTTGCCCAACTGACTCTTGGGCAAACAGCATCTCAGGGCCCAGGGAACCACGTGGAATGTTAGATGCAGAAAGGCTGGCCCTTGGAGAGCACAGAAACCAGTGGTTCTCCACTTGGCAGCACAACAGAATCTCTAGGGAGCTTTAAAATAAAACAGATGCTGAGCCCCGTCCCCAGCCAATTAAATAGGACTCTTGGGGGTGTAGCCCAGGAAAAGGTAGTTTTAGAAGCTCCAGAGTGATTCTAAGGTGCCTCCCAGTTTAAGAGATGCCCTAGACCCAGCCCTTGATGGAACGGATGAGGAAACTGAGTCACAGGGGAGCCCAATGGCTTTCCCAAGTCCATATCATTAGTAAGCAGGAAAGAGTTGAACCCAGGTCTGTCTGGCCAGCATGCTGCCCTCCCTGAGTGGCTGAGCCCGTACTGAGACTCACACCCAGAAGGAAGCAGCCAGGATGACACATGCCACCTGGTCATCAGAACTCCTCCCACTGAAGCCAGGTAGAGACGTTGGACACTCCTGAGAGGGGACGCCCCTCACATCTCTGTGGAGACTGGGTGGGCTTTGGTGTCACAGAGTCCTGGGTTCAAATCCCATGATGTCCTCACTCCGTGCCCTCCCTCAGCTGAATCTTTTCCCCTGTCTGTCCTGTTTCCTCGCCTGTAATATTAGAGGAGCCCACTCTGAGTCTCTGAGATGCTATGAGGATTAGAGACGACGGGTTTAAGTGGCTGATGAAGTCGTGTGTGTAGAGGGTGCTCACTAGGAGTTCATTCCTTCCCCCTCTCTCTGTAGAGCCAGGAGGCACCTGGGGCCGTGTCCTTGGCCCTGACTAGGAGACCCCTGGGCTCCAGCGTCAGGAAGAGGGGGCTTGCCCACTCTCTGGTTTATCTGGTGGCTCTGACATGGTTTGTCATGGAGCTAGACATGGAACCCGTGTCCTGGCTCCCAGGCCAGAGTTCTTTCCTTTCTTATCCCCTAACCCTTGCTGTCTGTCAGATGCAGTTGAGGCTGCAGACTCAGGCTCCACAGCCCCCAGGAAGAGCCCCCGCCAGCTCTAGGAGGGGACGGTCCCTCGTGGAGCGGAGCTCAGGACTGCAGACAAATTCTCATTCCAACCCTGTCCGCGCTTTGTGCGGCTGTGGAAAACTACTTGATCTGATCGGGCCTCAGTTCCCCTTCTGTAAAATGGAGATAACACTTTACCACGTCTGCCTCCCTGGATGTGGGAGACCCCTTAATGAGAGAAAGAGATGAAGCACTTTGGAAAAGAATAGAGTGCTCAACTGAGGTGACCAAGTGTCATTATTATGAAGACGTTTGTAATTATTATCATCCTGCCTCTTCCCTACCTCCCTTTGCCGCCCTGCTGGGCCTGGGGAAACCCTAGGCTCACATTTAGCTTCTCAAACATTTATAAAAAATGAGTCCCACCCCCTGCTGCTGCCAGCGCTGCGCGGAATGCTT